CTTACTTCAAAAAAGGGATTAAATAATCTGTATAAAATTTTGTGCGAAAACAGAATTAAGTGAGCCTACGTGTTCCGAGTGATGCCCGTATTATATTTCCATCGGAGGGTTGAGAAAATGTGAACGACGGAAAGCGAGCGTGAGTTCGTCAAGAAAATACGAAAGAATTAATGATTAGAAGAAAATAATATTGACTAATCGTCGTCCAATCGTAGCCAAGGGTCGTATGATCAATAAGAAATATACATATTGTTTCACTGCTATAAATACAATATATTTCTGTTAATTTAAAGCACTATCGTAAATTTAATAATGGTAAAAACCATTTTTTTTTTATTATCGGTTCTTTTTCTTCCATTGTATGTAGTAAGCGGAATRCACAGAAAACGGTGTTTTCCCAAGAAAAAAAAAACATATTCTATTCCTGATAATTTATTGTGTTTTCTTTATTATTAATAAGTGCGAATATTCAATTTGGCATTGGTGTAATAAAAAAGTATTTCTGGGGTTAACAAATGTCATGTATCCAAAATAGCTGTTTTCAGCTCCAAATCGTATTAAATTGACCAAAATCCTCGTAAATCTTTCTAAAGAGCCATCCCCATGTGTTCTCAATATGACTCACATCGGTAGAACAAGCTGGTATTTCCAAAAGAACGATATATTTACGTTGAAGCCACGTTTTCTTTTACCTGGTAGTATGAATTCTTGCAGATTTGTTTCTAATACTTCCTGGTATTCGGAACTATTTATTCAGAAAGAAGGGAATTCCGCCACAATTTCATTTCGAAAAATATCGTGGTTCTCTTCGTAAAAAAACCAAAAAACCGTCTGAACCATCAATCCGAAAAAATCACGAAGGACCAATAGTACATTTTTTTTGTAAACGCATTGTCTACTTTGTCGCAACTTATTATTTCAAATCTTATTTTTTTTTTATATTAACTGATGCCAGTCTTTATTCATATGATTTCGGGCAAAGCTGAGACGTGAGACTATTTGGTGTGGTTTCAAGAGAGGCGCTTTCTGCTTTTTTTCACCTGTAATTTTAGGATTTAACCGCACGCCAAATTGTTGAAACAGAATTAGGTTCTCTCTTTTCACTTTCCGTATTAATTTCATAAATGTGCATCAATTTCGTTTTCCTATCGCGTGTTAATATTTTTTTTTGATCAGAGTAAGTTCTCAGGCCATAATTGTCTTTGGGATTCAGATAATTATGCACCACTKTTACGACGTTCCCAAATTCCGAGCAATGGCGAGATTGGTCAAACCCTCCCCATTCAAAGAGTCTATAGCTCCTTACTCTTTATCGTCGATTAGCTAACAAAATTTCATAAAATTAATKTATAACTCTAAATAGTACTGGTCGGTATAAGTGGCTATATAGCAGTTCAAGAAAAAACAGTTTTTTCTTCATAGAATTTTTAGAGTTACCATAGAATTTTAAAATAACATGATTCGATCTTRGAATGGGAACATACAAAACTAGCAAAACGTTTTGAACAACATCTTCGAATTAAAATATGAAGCATTTTGCTCAGCTCTGGGTACATTTGAAATATTTTATTAGTATACATTAACAAAACTTCGCCAATTCCATATGCAGTATTTTAGCTAGTCTGCCTAAATATTTTATATTTTTATTTTGTGGAATTCCTGAGGGTTTCTTGAGTTTGATTCTCTTAAATAAATAATTGCTGACACAAACCATTTTTTTTAATATGCAGGTAACTACATACACTCACAAGGATGATAACAACAAATGGCTTATAAAACCCTACAATAAGGATACAATTGATAACATAAAATATGTTTCGCATGGCGCCTTAATAAGACTAGAGCATGTTGCTACTAGGCGTAATTTACACTCACATGGTGAACCAGCACCACTCACTAAAAGGCATTTGCAAATAACAGGATACGGAGAGGTAGTGATTACATAAATCCATACTACATGTGTATATGATTAATTCAGCTGCCTTATGCTTTTTTAATCTCTACTTCAGGATGGGCAAGGTGATGCAAATGATATTTGGCAAGTTCTATTGGTTGATGGTAAGCAAAACACCAGTGTTAAAACTGTTACAACAAAGTTTTTGCTAATACACTATCTCCAAAATTGTGCGCTGACTACCAGCGGACAGCAACTTCCGAAATGGGGATTTGAGCAACAAGAAGTTTCTTGCAATCCCAACCTGAGAGATAAAAATGCATTTTGGAATGTCGAAGATAATCGAAACGAAAAATGTAAGTTTATTTAAAAAAACAGACAATAACAATGTTTTAAATAAAATATACTCGCATGAGGCCAAGTCCTCTATAAAGTTTACTGGAAAACGAATTTACTTAATTAGTTAAGAGAATGTCTGCCTGCACTGAGAATAAAAACTTAAAGAAAATATGATGACTAAAATAAAATTATGTATCAGCCTTACCCACCAGCAAAAAACAAATTTTATAGGAGAAAGTTATAAAAACGTAAAAGGTTTAACATCGCTGTTGATCGAGGGTTTCAGTGAAACTYAAATATTTTACATAATATCCATGTAAATAAAATATCGGTCTTATGGTTTGAGTAAAAACATTTTTCGTCGCTAACGTTATTTTCGAAGATAGTCGCAATGACATATTTGTATCTGAAAATACTGTCACTTAAGTTCAATTAATTTCATAAAATTTTTATTGCACACGATTTTCTTTGAAATAGTTTCTCACTTGAATATAATTGTTGAGACTAGCAAGCTTAAATTAATATTATTATTTTAGTTCATTTAGCAGTAGAGTGGATTGTCCGCCTTCGAATAAGTGTTTAGATGAATTTGTTTTTGTTATTTACTAGTTCAATAAAAAGGTAATCATGCTGCGATGGTTGCGTCAACTTATAAATTTAGCAGTTTTTCTTTAGTYCAAAATCAACAACTTAATTACTTATTCTTATGTAATTATTATGTGGATAATGCAACGGAACTATGGAAGAACCGAGTTTCCACAACTGCACTAAAACGGCCTTGGTTTGCGTGGTTATTGTTAAATAAACTTTTTATCAGAAAACTTCTGCGATTCGTTATTCCAAATAACTTTATAAGTTTTTTTAAGGGCGTTTTGTGTGCGCGGGACACTATACCAAGTTTCCGATCAGGGGGCCTATACTGTAACTGAATTCGAAAAAARATTTAGTCGAATTCGGATTTTTTATAACTARTTTTCGAATAAAATATTCATTAGCTTTTGAGTTGTAGAAAGCAAAAACCAAAATTGTACGTATTTATTCTGGTACAGGGTGGTGCAACTTTCGCATAATTATAAAGTAGATCCGAATTTCGAATAGAATACATTTACGAATCGAGATACAGAATAGGGCCCCAGATATCTTCTCATTCTTTAATCCTTTCTTTAGTGGAAAAAATGAACAGAAGTAATCGTAATCGTTTAAACGAAAGCGCTACCTTACTCGAAATGTATAATAGCTTTTCAAAATATAGGTCTTTAGACGAAGAAAGAGCTATTTCATACAATCATACGATATAATATAATCAAAAGATGTTGGAAACTAGTAAATCAAATAATATTAAAGGGAGAAATAATTGAATTACTCAAACCAATAATAATAGCTATAACCACCAGAACTCAGTACAGAGTAGACGCTATTCGAACCAAAGTATTAGAGAACACAGTAATCAAGTTTGCAACTATAATAATAGATTCAATAATTATCAAACCAAGCCTAATTCACACGTGAGTGTTGATAATCAAAGTGCTAGACGTAGTCGGATCGAGTCGCTAAGAAGTTATCAGCCAACGGAGGAAAGTATTTTAGAGGAGGATGTAAATTTTACCAAAATRCCTCCACCTGTAAATAGCCCTTAATAACTGTAACGAATGGCGGTCATGAAATTACATGCCTGATTGATAGAAATAGATTTATTAATATATTAGGAAATATAATATATTTTGAAAGTTTTAGTCCGTATAAAAAGCAGAAAATTTGGGCAGTCGAATGTGGTGACATGGAAAACTTAGATTTAATACATTTCAATTCCGAAGAAAGYCAATTAATAAAAAATTTATTGCATGAGTATAATGAACTATTTTTTAAAGGAGACACACTTTCTTTTACATATGAAATTAAACATACAATTATTACGACAGATGATAGTCCTATCTATTCGTAAATATATAGAAATCCACAAGTCCATGAATTGGAAATTCAGAAACAAATAAAAGAAATGTTAGAACATAACATTATTAGAGAAAGCAATTCTGTTTACAACAGTTCGTTTTGGGTAGCTCCCAAACAATCCCAGACAAATCTGGAAATAAGAAATGACGCATTGTGATCGATTATCGAAAGTTGAACGACCGTTAGTGATAAATTTTCGACAACCAACATCGATGGTATCATGGATAAATTGGGAAGAACTCAATATTTTTCTTTCCTTCGAGAACAATAAACACTCGCGAAAAAACTTCTCAACTTTAGAAAACGAGTTTTTTGCAATAGTGTAGGCAGTGTAGTGTACGCCCATTTATACGGAAGGAAGTTCGATCTAAAATAGATCATCAACCACTTAAGTAGTTGCAGAAAAAATTGTGGTAAGGATATAAATCCCAGGCTACAGCGTTGGTTAGTACAATTGGGGRAGTATGATGCGAAAATCGATTATATACCTGGAAAAGAAAATAAAATAGCCAATTTCMTAAGCCGAATTGATATTAACGAGATAAATATGATTAATAGCAAAAATTTGAGAATGACCGTTAAACAAATGTTAAAAATTAAAGATTTAAACGCTGGAGAGGAGCAAAATCAAACAAATTCTATGGAAGTTCAAACCAACCATTCTCAGGAAGATACGGTTGTAAGTCGTTTCAAACAGTTGCTACTTTTGGTTGAAGCAAAAGAATCCGAAGTAGAAAATATATTAAAAACTAAACGCGCTTGTATTGACATCGGAGACATCAATTGCATTAACATAATCAATATTATAAAAAAAAACATTTTAATAAGGGAAAGCTCGCTATATATTCTGAACTTGGAGAAAATTAGTACAATATAATAAGTCAAAATATTTCTTTCGTAAATTGTAGCAATTTTCCCAAAGATATTGCAGAAGGATATGAAGTAATACTATGTTCGGACCGACAATGAAAACATGTTTTCGTGGAAAAAATTGGTTTTCGCCCTAAAACTTGTGGTTTCGTCCATGTAAAATCTGTCAAACGACAACACATTGAAAACCAATTTTCGCTAAAAACTACTTGACAACTTACATCCCACGCATTATAGTCGGTTTTATTGGAAGATATATTTTACCGGCCTTAAATTGTCGCTTGATATTTGTTTATATTCCATGTACAAATACAGCTGTCACTTGATATTGTCATATAAGGGGGATTCTCTTGCTCTTGCAAAACCTTTGCACTGTGCACGAATGGCATCATTTTTCTCTTGGTGCAACGACACAATAACAAACACACGCAGAAAATTATTTGCAAYGGTTGTAAAATATGTCAGACCAAAACCCATGATTATTTTCGTGCGTAATATACCAATAGATTCTGCAATGGGTGCCCTGGCATTTTTGCATTTTGTGTCRTCGTGTAATTTTTCAATAACAAGGGAATTCCCTATTGATAGTTGTCGGTGAAAACTGATCGAAAAGACACATTGTCGGTCCGAACATAGTATAAAAAACACATATCGTTTTTCCACAAAATAGAAGTAGGACATTCAAGATTTATCCCAACTTACGAAGGAATTAAAAGGTGTATCACCCACAGGTAAAAACTAAAATGCATAAAATAATAAATAATTCCGAAATCTGTAACCGAGGAAAATATGACCGAGACCCGATTAAAGCAGAATTTCACACTGCGGAAATCAAACACAGTAAATGAAATTGTGCATATAGATAATTACGTTAATAGTAAACACTCATATATAGTCTTTGTAGATAAGTTTTGGAAACATGTCATTTGTTTTCATTTAATTGATAGAAATAGCCAAACAATTGTTTAAAAAATTAATGAATTTTTATGAAAAAAGGGCATGCAAAAAAGTTTATTTTCGATAATGAATTTAATTTAAAAAGCGCTCGTGACTTTCTAACGAAAGGAGGCATACAGTTCATGCCACAAGCCATACTGGTAATTCCAACGTCGAAAGAGTTAATAACACACTTACAGATCGTATAAGATCACTAAATTTGGAAGAAAAAACTGCTATCATAACCCAAGTGTGTAAAGCCGTAAAGTTCTATAATAATTCCTATCACACCGCATTGAAAGCTACACCTTTAGATGTTCAGAATTTCAAAACATAACTCCAAAAGGGAAACCTCTTTAGAAAAAAGAGGCGAAGGTTTTATTAGGAATTATAGAAGTGTAAGACATAAAGAGGATCCAAAATTTATCAAAAGAAATTTGAAAAACATTCATACATCAAATAATAAACGTCCTTTAAAATTCGAAGAGTCTAATATTGAAACTCATACTTACAATGACGATTATGATAACAGAAGCCATAACGGCTAACCTTATGTCAGAGAAGCTTTAAATTTTAACAGTGCAGCTCAGTGTAGTAGAAAAGTAAATAATAGGAAACAAAAACAAAAAAAAAAAAACTCATTTACCAAAAAATGTCTAGAATTATTGCTATACTATCGCTACCGCTGCCACTTTGTCGGCAGCCACAGCATAGTCTTACCGTGCGAYTCTGTACTGTGATACAGTATCAAGTATCTAAATTTGATAGGGACAATTTTTGAAACTTGAGGCGAATTTGCTATTCTGTAAGTGACAGTCACAAAATCTATTACATTTCATTAATCAGAGACATTTTAATACTGGGATGAAAATAAATATGTCGATAAAAAATATCAAATTTTCTATAGTATTATTTATTTATTTATTTATAAAAACGTGTAACAATAATACAATTACTTTTCCACGAAAAAAGGAGCACTGGCTGCCAGGACCTTCGGCTCGCTGATGTAAGTATAAAATGTATAGTTATTGCTTAATTAAGTCTTAGGTGTAAAGTTAATAAAATGTTCTGTAGCTAATAGAAAAGTTTTAAGAACAAAATAAATAATAAGTAATGGGAAGTTTATAAACATAATCAT